CGCTGGTCTTTTTGAAGGATTAACTGAGGACCTAATTAAAATAATGAATTTAATAATTGAAGATGCTGTTGAAAATAAAAAAGACTTATGGATTCTTTTGCAAGATTTGTTTAAAGTTTATGATAGAGTAGATCTCAACATTCTTAAACTAATGCTCAGAAGAATAAAAATTTCAGAGAACTGCATTTCCTGTATTATCAATCTGTTCACAAATAGGAAAAATGCTATTCTCACCCAAGATGGCCTTTCTGATTATTATGACATCAAAATCAGTATCGATCAAGGGGAAGTTATATCACCTTTACTATGGTGCATTTATTTTAATCCTTTCCTGTGTAAAATAGATAGTTTAAAAAAAGGGTATAAAATAGAACACTCTTGGATTTTTAATGTTAAAGATATGTCTTCATCCTCTTTATCAGTATAAGTCTCTGCCTTAGGTTATATGGATGATTCAAACTGGCTTGCACATTTAAAAGAAGACTTAGAAGACATACTAGAAGTAGCTGACGAATTCTACACTATCACTAAAGCTGCTATCAATAAATCAAAGTCACAATTATTAACAAATACTATCACAATATCGTAATCAATACCCATCAGATTTGGATCTAGTATAGTTGACATTAAACCAGAATTTGGCTCAGTTCAGTTTCTAGGGGTCTGGATTAATATATTTAACTTCAAAAATTTCATTAAAACACAAACCAAAGACACTATCATCAAATTCACCACAATCCTCAAATCGAAACTACTCACTAACAAACAACTTATTTATATCCTCAATATAGTACTCTTTCTATTATTAGAATATCGGTTACAGATCACTCCCCTTTCCTTCAATGAATGTAATAGAATCGCTATACCATTAAGAAGGATGGTCAAACATAACTCATCAATGACCTCCACTATCCCTAACTGTTTATTCAAAGGTAGTGTTTTTTACAACTTAAATGATCTATGAACACAACAGCTGAAATCGTATTCTACAGCACTCCTTTATCAATTTAATTCGAAATCAATTTATAAACACATATTAACTATTCGATTGTTCTAATTGCAATCCCAACACTCACTATGTGTCTTCCCATTGAAAAAATAGGACAAAAGATTTGATGCTAAATCTTGTAGAACATCATTGGTATGACTTTAAGCTTACTAAATCATGATAATATCAGCATCTCTGTAATTACAAATCAGTTTTTAGCTAACGAGATCAAAGGAGGCTCATTGTTCTTAAACCTCTGTCACGATGGTTTCATGGCTTCAAATAAAATCTCAAAAGGGTAAATAAAACTAAGACAATTACTCAAGGAATCACAGGTGAGGATTCACAATAACGTTGAAGGATTATTCTCAATATAAATCACGTGAGGTAAACACAAAATAAACTCAAAGTACACTCAAAGATATTTCAGAAATTACACTTCAGAAACTCCAAGTCAATACAGCAAATCAATACAATATCATATAATAAGTTTACTAACAAAAGGGAATGCACGAATGCAAAGGGTCACGGGTAATTTATAACAGGTTCAAAGGGTTTGCGAAGGATAAGTTTTGTACTGGGTTAATTATACTCCTTTATTGATATAATTTATATGTAAGTTCGATACCTAAAAGATTAACATCTCGTCGGTGCTGAGACTCAAAGAAAATACAGAGATATTTATACATGGTAAAAGAGAGAAACCTATTCTAAATACGAATTCCAAATTTGTTGAGCTTTATTTAAGTAAGTATAATTCTCTTTTATTAAAAACTTTATTTTTGAATTAAATAACACAAAAAATAATTAACCTTAATATTTATTAAAATAGAATGCTGGCAAATTGAACCAATTAAAAGACCAAATATTCATCAAGTAATTTTAGAACTTAATAATATTCAAGAGGAAAATGGTAAGATATTAAATAAAAAAATAAAAAATACTAAAATAAAATAAAAAATTAACTAAATAAATAAATTACACGTCAGGTTCGAATGATCTTATCACACTAGAAGGTAAAGATAATTTATTATATTTTCCCATCAAATTATATTTCTTTAATAATTTTCAAAAATTTCTAATATTGTTAAAAAATTTTCATTGTTAAAATTAAAATTACGCCAGGTTCGATTATCGAGAATACTAATAGTAAAGAAAAAAATTTTTTTTTTTATATATGACGGTTCAATATAAATTATTATTAACATTTTTATTATAAAATCATTTTTAGAAACAACGCTTACTAAACGATCATATGCTGTCGGCACATTAAATATTATAAACAGCGTAATGGTACCGTTTGCAAGTTTCTTACCACTTATAACGGAGGTAACCAAAGTATTTAATGAAATAATAAAAATATATCAATCAGCTGAGCATAATAAAAGAATATGTGGGATATTGTTGGATAGAGTCCAAATAGCTGATACTGCCGTAAGGAATTTAAAAAATCGTAGAGACGAAAATGAAAAATTTTTTTCAGAAAGTAATCTCATTCTGTTACAAAGATTGGTATATGTCATTGGTAAAATTCATAAGCTTTTTGAAGATATTTCTCAGCTAACAAGTTTAGCAAAGTATATTCAAGCTACAAATCTTGAAAATACCAATATACAAGCATTACACTTTTCTCTGACGATCGATTTTGGTATAAATGATACCGAGATTATTAAGTCTGATATCAAAGAATTTTTTCAGGTATTGCGTGATATGCATCAATTGATTTTTATGGATCATAATACGTATGTAGTCTTATCTTATTATTAACAAATTCTCTTATCATATAGTACCTTGAAAATATATAAGATCTCGGTAATTCTCAAGCAATTGTATGAACTTAATAAAACCTTGACGGAACCTAAATCAACAGATAAATCATCAAATACTGATGTATTCATAAGTGAATTACTTGAATATAATGATTATGAAGAAGGAGAACTTAAAAATAACTTAAGATTGGCAAAGGTTAGAAAATATAAGAGAAAAAAAGATGATGATTTTGTCACATTCAAATTATTGACTGATGAAAACAGCAGTCATGAAGATAAAGATAATCTTAGAAAACAGATTACAATTTTAAAAAAATTGGAACGATGTGATTGTATTCTTCAATATTTTGGGTTAACAGTTAATGATGATAAGTTTTATTTGGTGACTGGATGGGCTGAGTTTGGCAATTTACGTGAATATTATCAAAATTATGAACTTGATCTTAAGCTGAAGTTAGGCTTTGCTCTTGACATTTCCAAAGGTTTAAATTTCTTGAGAACTGTTAAGGTAAAATTTTTTTTTTTTAAAATAATAAATAATTTCCATCTCTCTCAAAATAAAAATTCCTAAAAGAAAATCATTTGTTGTTTTGGGGTAATAACAGATCGTTCATGGTGATATTAGAGCCGAGAATATCTTAATCACTGATCGGTATTTGGCCAAGATCGCAAATTTTGAAGCAAGTCGAGCAATTACTGATAGTACAGCAAATCAAGCTGCTACACTAGATGCTGTACGTTATTGCGCTCCAGAAAAATTGGAAAATGGGTCGAAATATCTATATGACACCAAATGTGAAGTTTATAGTTTTGGTATACTGCTTTGGGAAATTGCCGAAGAGAAAATTCCTTATGGGAAGTTTGGCAATGATATCGAGGAAATTACCGATCTAGTTTGTAAAAAACAATATCGGGAACCATTTTCTCTCGGTTCTCAATTACCAAAAGAATATCAAGAACTTGCAAATAAAGGTATTAGAGTACTATATATATATGTATCGGTTTTGTTTTATTAGCAAACATATGTGCCTTTTTATATTAAATTTTTTATTATAAATCTATCCTAGCTGTTCGTCCTGATCATAATTTTAGACCACAATTTTCAAAGATCTTTACCACATTGCAAGAACTTTATCAGAAAATTGGTATGCCACATCCATCACCAAAACTTCCGCCAAAAAATGTTGAAAATACCTCAAAAGAAAAAGGAACAATTATAGATTTTGCAGCGTTTAATTAGATGAAGCATTGAGCAATAGAAGCAATTGCAAGTTATATTATAAATGTTTTGGAGCATATGCAGGATTAAACGATGTAAAAGCGAAATACTATAAAGCATATTATATTCAAAAAAATTATGTTAAACTTGATATAGATCAAACAGAAAAAGAAGAATTAGTAGCAAAATTATATAAAGAAGCAGCGGATTCGGGGAATTCCGAAGCGCAATTACGTTATGCTTCTTGTTTATATAATGGTACAGGAGTTAAAAAGAATCTAAAAGAAGCTGCTGAATATTTTACTAAATCCGCCGACAATGGCCAAGCTTTAATGCTGCTACTTTATATTTCTCTGATAATGTTGATATAAAAAATGAAGCATTAGGTAATAAATATATGAGATTAGCTGCTTATGAACAGTATAAGGAAGCTATTAGGTATTGTGAGAAGCATAATATTGTTTTGTAGTTTTAGACAAAAGTCTTTTTATTTATTTCAAAGTTTTAACGTTCTTTTCGTGTTATAATAAAATTTTCTTAAAAGGAAATATCATCATATTTTTTTTTTTTTGAATTAATTACTTACTTTTAAAAGAATGTTTTCAATTATCAAAGTAAAAAGCAATTGGCACCCAGAAATATCTGTTTTAAATGTACTCTTTTTATAAATTTGGTTAAATTCGTCTTTTTTTTTGTAATCTCTGTTATGAACCAGTGTTGGAACATGACCTGATCACTTCACTTTTTCGAAATGACCTTTGTCATTGGTCACTATTAAGCCACGAAATCATGAAATTTTTGTTTTTTTTTCCATTTGCTGCGCCTTTAATACTCTAATAATGTGTAACATCAATGAATCATAACTTTATGGAAAAATGTCAACATGACATGCTGTTTTAATAGTTTTACAATTTAATAATTTAATATTTGAGAAATTGCAGGAAATTCTGAAAAAATATTTCTGTATTACTTATAAAAATTAGATATATGTAAATATGATTTTAATTCACCTAAGTTAATTCACATGGCTCATAATTCAATGTCGGAAAACTACAGAAAAGTTAGTGTTCTTTATGATTTCAACGAAACTACGGTAATAAGAAATATATGTGGGAGCGCTGCCGGTTACTTTGAAATTGGTAATACAGTATATAATGTTTTTATTTTGACATCTATTGAATTAATTTGAATTTCTGATCCAAGTTAAAATATCCAATATTCATGATACAATAATTGGAGATGCAAATGACAGAGTACATAAATTACGGTTAAAAGTTTTCAAATGGTATTTCAAAACAGGTATAATCAAATAAATTTATAAAATTTTATAATAATACTTCATTATATAACATAATATGCATTAGTTTTCTTTTTTCATATCCGATACAGGTATGATTAATATGTCATCAGACAAATTGAAATCTCGTGCAAGGTATTTACTATAGGGTATTTTTGCGTTATAATTATAAGAGGTAACTTAAATTCTTTATAAATGGATACCCTGAAAAGATCATGTAAAACAGAATAAACGTTGCATCAATATACTTATTTTCCGACACAACAAGAACACCGTTTACCTAAAGAAGTTGTTTAAGCTATTCTGTATCGAACAATACAAACAGATAAAAATAGTATTAGACGAAATAAAATTAAATTTGATGATAACGTAATATATTATTTTTTTATTATTTGTATCGCTATATTTTTTAACTTGATTTAGTAAAATGAAACGTAGAGAAGAGAGTGTTATAAATAATTTCTACTACATATGTATGTTAATTATATTATTATTATTATTCGCATTACATTAGAAAAAAGTCCATATTATTAAAGATTTAAAATTCTAAGTATCGTTAAATATTTTGTTTTATAATCGAAATGTACATTTTAATAATCTTCAATTCTTCTAGATTTCCATTCCAATATTCTAATAATCGTGACTTTTTTATTTTAACCATCTAAACCTCATCAAATTTTCTAGTTAGATCTCTCTAACTACTGCAATTGTTATGTAATTCAGTGTGTTTCACAGCCCAATAGATAAATTCTTCCGATCACATCATTAAATTTCCTAATTTTCGGGTCCATACTTTGCGTAGTAGAGTTTGGACTCGAGTCAGAAAAGTTAACTGGAGTCAAACTCGAGTTTAATTTAAGTCATAATGCGGGCCGGAAAAGTACAATGCGGGCCAAAATTTTGTGATAATTTGGGGCCGAAATTTTTTAAAAATTTTTATTCAATGATTATATAATAAATGTTAATTATATCTATAAATGTAGTTTAAGAAAATTACACGCTATTTATAAAATATATCATAAATTTGAAGTTGACTTGAGTCAACTCGAATTCTGACTCGAATCAAGAAAAATTTGACTTGAATCAGAATTTAACCAAGTTGATTCGAGTTAAACGAATACGAGTCCAGTTTTTATTGCGCAGGATCTCCAACTACTATTTTATCATTCGTCCAATAATGTGCCTTATTATATTTCTTTATGAAAAGCTATTATGCCTTTTAATGAAAGTTCAAACCGTTCCTCCTCGCTATATGGACATCATCGCCCCACGTTTATGGTGTTAAGAGGATCCAAGAACCACGTGATTTATTTTGTTACAAATCCATTTTTGATTCTCCTTATTAACGAAATTAATTTTAAGTTGAGATTCTAGATCAGTTCGGCTGGTATTTTCTTGGTAAGCAACATCTCATCATCAAGTTAATTTTTCAATGTTTGTTTTTTATACATATATTTAAAGGAAATTCAAAATCAATTGAAAAAATGGGATAAATAAATTACTAAACAATAATCAAAAAATTGATAGGAATAAGTTTTTACTTTGTCAATTTTTCTAATTTCACTAATACTAATCTTGCTAATCTTGCTAATCAAAATAAAATTATATACATTATATATATATCTAATCCATATGATTAGATATTGTTTATAATATTAATGGAATAGTTAGAATTGATATTCCCAGAAAAATAAAATAGCTGAGAATATAAAAACCTAATGGAAAGAAAAGAAGAAAATATAAAAAAGGAAAGGAATAATTAATGAAATATTATAACAAAGGATTGGAATAAAAAAAAACAGAAAGTGGAAAAGAAGAAATATTAAAGAAAAAGATTAAAGGAGAATAATTATTAAACAAATAAAAATTTATTTGTAAAATAAATCCTCTTAATGGCAAGTAGCAGAAATGTTACAGCTTTTATTAAAGCTATTAAACTTATAAAATTTCATATATTTATAAAATATAGGTTTTGACATTTATAATGTTTTAAAACATATAATATATATAGATAAATAATATCGATATAATATATTTATAAAAAATTTTATATATTAAATATTAAAAATGTCTTTTCTATATCTTATAAAATATAGAATTTATATTTATAACAGGTAAAATTTTTATTTAATCATGTAAATCTTAGATATTAATTTAATTTTTAATGGAATAGTTATTTAATTTCTATATCAATTTTATTATCTGCAGATCTTTTAACTTTATTTGATTCAGTAACTTTATTTTCTAATGATAGTTTAACTTTATTTCTATCAGATATATTTGAATTAATATATTTTATTTATCTAATATGTATAAATATCTTTGTATTTTTATTAATTTTCATTATCTTTCTAGTAAAGATAAACTAACAAGATAATATCTTTTAAATAATAAACTTATAAGAAGTATAATTAATTAAGCATAAAACTTATGCTTTATAACCTTTTATAATTATTTGAATTTATCTGTAAACCCTTTATAATTTCTTTTAATTATTACTAAACTTATTACATAATATTATGTTGATTTACTATATTGACTTAAAGTTTTTAAAGTATAATATTTATTTGTATTTTTATATTAAAAATAATATTTGATATTATTGTAAATTCTCACTTATGATTTCTTAAATAATTGTTATAGTTTTATTTATCCTTTATTTTAAATTACAAATCCTATTTAATATTTTAATGCTTTTTTTAAATAATAAAAAATTATTAGCATTATTAAAATTAAGATATTGTATTGAAAGTGTTATATTAATTTTAAGGTGTAAATTTTTAAAATCTCTTTTTTTAAAAAATTATTGAATCCTTTAAGTTAATTCAACAGATTATATTATAAATAAATTAATAATTTAACAAAAATTAAATATTCTTAATATTTATATTATTTAATTAGAATGATAATTTTATTATTCTAATCAAATGAATCTTTAATAATTCATTTGAAATAATAATTCTTGATCATTTAACTGGAACGATACTTATATTTTTTGACTAGAATGATTTTTTTTATTATTTCAGTCAAATGATTCTTTGATTATTCAATTAAAACAATTTTTTATTATTCATTTAAAATAATAATTTTATCATTTTAATTGAATGATTTTTTATCATTCTTTTAAAATAATAATTTTTATTATTATAATTAAACAATGCTTTTATTATTTGATTAAAATGATTTTTTATCATTTTAGTTGAATAATTCTTTAATTATTATTTAGAATGATAATTTCTATTATTTTAGTTAATCAATATTTTTATTATTAACTAAATAATAATTTTATTATTTCAGTTAAATAATGCTTATATTGTTCAATTAAAATGATTTTTTTTATAGAATTCTGAATAGGTCAGTTCAAGTTAGATCAATCTAGATACTTAAACTAAGAGAATCAGATCAAGTCAAATAAAAATCTAACCTAATTTTAATTTTCATTTGATTTAACCTGGCTATATTATTTAAGAAAAATAATAATGAATTATTTTAATTGAATAATAAAAATATTGTTTAAAAATGATAAAACTATTATTTAAAATAATAAAATTATCATTTAAGAATAATAAAACTATTATTTAAAAACAATAAAATTATCATTTAAAAATGATAATAATATTGTTTAAGAATGATAAAATTATCATTCAATAATAATTAGTTGATCTAAATTTTGTTAGATCAGATTAGGTCAGATTAACTTGTTGAACTAATTTGACATAAATCTGAAAAATTACTGACTTGATCTAAATTTTTAGATCAGATAAAATCAGATAAGCAGGTTAATCTGATCTGATTCAGAGCTCTATTTTTTTCATCATTCTAATTGAATAATACATATATTATTTGATTAGAATGATTTTTTATTATTCCAGTTAAACAATTCTTTGATCATTAAATTATAATGATTTTTATATTATTTTATTTAATAATACCTATATTATCATATTCTTATAAAAATAAGCAACACTTTTTTATTATAGCGTTGCTTATTTTTGAGTAGTTTAATAAAATGAAAGAAATTTAATTACACAACTATTTAATCATGTGATTTTTATTGATCGAATCATTTGTGATTTATCATATAACACACAAAATAGATTTTAAACAGGTTTTATTTTTTTATGTAAAATAATAAAATGAAAAAGGGTAATTAAAACTGTTAAATGAAAAGTAGTTAAAGCTGTTAAACATAAGACTCAGATTGTAAAATAAATACGAAATTCATATTCAGTTGATTATAAAAAGAAGGTTATTACTTACGAAAGGAACTATGGAAATACAAAGCAGTAAGATATTTTGATATTGATCATGGTATGGTGAGATAGTGGGTAAATGCAAATTCAAAATAGACAAGTAAAACTAAGGGAAAAAACAAGCAGGTTGATTCCAATAGAAAAGTTTTATTTTTAAAAGCAAAAAAAAAGTTTTATACCTAGATTATACAACAAAGAAAACAGGGTCTTTCTGTAGCCTATATAACTATAAGAAATAAAATATTAAAAATCTTAAAAGAATCTGAAATAGTGGTTCTTTATGATAATATAGGTGAAGACTTTAAAACATTTTAATATTAAATATTAGACTTTATGAAAAGATTTAATTTAGCATTGCGTAAATGAACCAAAATTTTCCAGAAACTTCTTGATGAAACTCAGAAATAACTAGAGAAATTATACCAGTTGATTAATAATTTAAGAATTGAAAAGTCATTCAAACTGAATAACATCCTTAATATAGATGAAACTTCAGTTTGGTTTGACATGGCAGGTGTTTATATAAATAACTTTAAAGGTAAGAAGACAGTTCATATTTGAGTTACAGAAAATAAAAGAAACTGATTTATAGAGGATCACTAAAAGTCTTCAAACACCATTTTTTAAGTGTGATTTTATGCCAGTAATATCATGTGATTTAATAATATTGTAGTCATATGACATTCTAGACTTTGTTTACATGAATCAATCTTAATAAATGTGTATTTTATTTATTTATTTTGACTTTAACTTAAATAAACTTCTTCCTTTGAAAACTATGAAAATGACTAAAGAGTTAACAAAAGAATAACGCAATATGATATTTTATTGTTATTAACATGGCAATAGTTATTAAACTATTACCATAATTGTTAGGTGTGAAGTGTCAACAGTA